ATCTTGAAAATGGTAAAGAGAACATGCCCTTATGTTTTAAACATTTTGTTCTTGATTTTCTCTTAATTTTATGAAAGTTTTTATGTTTTCAATAAATTGTTTTAAGTTCAAGATTCGATGCGTTTCAGGAATTTCTGTCAATTGTTTACAACATCAATTTGCAACTAAGTTCTATAAATTTGGGTATTAGAGCAACCAATCCTGGGAAAATGGCAGCAATAAAAAATAAAAGTCTGGGTACCATGGAGGAACGGATGAAGTCCGAACTGGCTTACAGAGAGAACTGGAATCTATCAAAGGGAACTTGCAGAAGCTGAATTTGCTGGAGAAAAAACATTGGCTGATTCTAGAGAAGCTCTGTGTGTTGGAGAAGGTTGAGATTACACCGGCTTGATAAGCACCACAATAGGGGCAGAGGGAAAAGGAAAAAGACCCAGAGCTGCAAATGCCTTTGACTCACCCACATGGTTGTGGCAAACCATTGGGAAATCGGGGATGCCTCGTGCTTTGAGCCTCGACCTAGGAGGTTAGAGATACCCGTGTTTCACGTCGAGAAACTAAATGGTGCTTGTTTAGAACATAGCCCATTTCAAGGTAAATAGGATGATGGACTTGGAGAAATTAAAGGCTGCCATGGTAGTGCTTCAATGGGGAAGCCTTGACTTGATTCCAGTGGGGGCCACTATCCGATGCGTTTCACCCCCACGCAAGACAACGTCGTGGAGGAGTATAGGAGAATAATTGAAGTATTGGCTTTGCCACTGCTGATTAATTAGATCGCCAAACACACCAAGGGCTCCAGCTTCTCCGAAAAATTTCCCACCCTTCAAACACACTAGTGCCACGCTCCAATTGAAGAGGGAGAAGGGCCTTCATTTCCAATGTGATGAAAAATATTCCATTGGACACCACTTTGGGAAAAGGAACTTTAGGTGCCGGTCTTAGTAAGGTAAGTCGAATAGAGGAAGGCATCGAAAGGGTATATGGAATCGGCAATACCATAGAACTTTCCATCAATGCAGGATTATGAAGCTCAAAAGGGTAATAGGGTAGCAAGGTGGTGGTGATCATCGATTGCAGTGCCACCCACAATTTCATCTCCGTCGGGCTAGTGCAGAAATTGGGCTTCATGGACAGGCAACTTGGGTTATAAGGTTCTCATAAGCATCAGGTTGCCTGTCAAAGGAGAAGGGATTTGCAAGTGCAAGTTTTTAACACTGTAGGACATTGATGTAGTTGAGGATTTTCTTCCTCCTGAATTAGGTAGCTCCAATGTCGTACTTGGTATGCAGTGGTTAGAAATGTTGAGGGGAATGCAATGCAATTGAGCCTGAGCAAATCTTTAATATTGTTGAAGTGGATACTGAAGGCATTGAGAGAGCATGGATGAGCGGTAGCACGGGGATCGAACCCACTAAGAATGAGCTTTCAAGTGCCATACGGGGGTGTATTGAGAAATTGGTTCGAGTGATGCTAGCCGCTAGAATAATCAACCTAGCATGAGCCTGTTTTCTAGTCTGGTTTTCCTAGTAAAGAAGAAGGATGGGAGTTGGAAGTTTTGCATGGATTATGGGGCATTGAGCAAAATGACAATGCCCGACAAGTTTCCAGTTCTAGTGATTTATGAGTTGTAGCGTGTATTGGATTTGAATCAAATAAATATCGTCTGAAAATCAAATCAATGAATGGTTCGACTCTCAAGTGCTCACAAAATTATAAACTAAATGCTGACACATACAGCAACCTTACTTCTTGTAAGTCTGAAAAAGTTTGGGAGTCTCTTGCACCAGAGCACCAGTATCCGCACAGATGAAAGATCTATCAGTCTGCAAAAGTGTAACTTGAAGTACAGTTATCAGAATCATGATCTTCAGATTTATTATTTTTTCGACTCTTCTAAGTTTAACAATGACATAATGAAATATAGCTACATATACGGGTCTTAAATTCCACATTAGAAAGGTTCAAGCCCATGCGACCGTACATACATGCTGGCTGAACAACATTTGATAACTTAGTACCTTTAGAGGAAGGTTAGTGACAGAATCGAGCCAAGTGATTGTTCCTGAGACCAAAAGGAGAAAGAACAAGTGAACAATAACTAGATGGAAATATCATGTAATGCCCAATTACAAAGCACAATACAAACCTGGATTGGTTGGACGGACTAAAGCGTAGGCATTCACTTCAATAGACATGGCATTGGTAATGATAAACTTAATTCTTCGTATTTTGCGCTTCCTGAACATTCGCTTTCTCAATTGGTCTTTCATGTCTTCAAATCTGAAATGAAAAGAATGATTTAGGAACTAATACTACCCATAATCCTATGCAAGCGATATGTCCAAGGCCAAAATCTAGTGTTATTTCAAGAACAATACATGCAGATGATGCCAATACCACCAAGCAATTATCAACCCAATATTTCCTTGGTAGACAGGAAAATTAATCAATAGACTACACTTAATTGTAAAATGTGAGTTATTATAGGAATGTACCGTTTCCACAACATCCACAGACAAGCATTAATTAGAGATTTAAAAACCAAGAAAATATGAAAGGCAGAGTTTATATGCTTCTTAATTAATAAGTTAGGTTCTGTTAAAAAAGACATGGGAAATTATTTAGTGAAGAAAACTAATGAATGCAAACCTCTCTCCCACCAAGGCCTTAAACTGAGTAAGGTTGGTTCCCTCCAATCCAAGTAAGTCCTGAATGCATGAGAGATTGAATTAGATACTAAAGCAATTAGATGTAGAAGGAAAGGAAAGAGCTTTAATTCCAGGTGTGAACCTACAGCATAGAAAAGGGACATGTTGAACTCGTCATCTGGTCTACTCAAGGGGAGAAGTTCGATAGAGATGCCAAGATCTTGAGCATCCTGAAAAGTATCTTTGAATTGTTTTAAGTTTTTGATAATATAATATTCTGAATGCAAATTGTTATGCTTTCAAATCTAGTGCCTTTGTACGCTCCAATAAGATTCCAACTCTACGAGTGTGTGCACTTTCATTCAAGCACTAGTGTATACATAAAGGCCTTGTTTGACACCCATTTTATAGAAAAAATTGATTTGGAATAGTAATTGATAGAAGAATGTGTGGTTAAAAAGTAAGGAGAATTTTTTAGTTTATGTGTAATATTATTTTATTAATAAAATGTGTGGTTGAAATGAAGAAAGAGAAAAAAATGAGAAAGAGAATGAGAAAAAAATGGGTGTCAAACATAGGCAAAATGAGTTATTACTTTGGCTCGCTGTAATGTTGTTCTCGTCATATCCATTTTTGTCATTCCCTTGATATTCCCAAAAGGATCATCCTCATTAGTAAATAATAGAATCCTTTTGTCAGCTGTTTTTGCAGACCTGACAGAGTCACATCAGAGCCATTAGTTGCCGAACATCCCTTAAATGAAATATAACCATTTGAAAGCCTAGCAAATGATGATGATAATAATAATAAAATAATAAACAATAAAATATACCCTTTACGCAACAGTGCTTGTGCAACCCAAAGAGCATTGTAAAGAGAATTATCACGAGACCCAGGTAAGATGCCATATTTGCTCCCGATCTCTTTACTAAATGATTCTGCATTCATAAATAATCAGGCAGAAAGCTGACAATTTAATGCAAGTCAAAAAGCAGTATAGTAACCTCATAACAGCTGAAATTTCAATGAACTATAATGTTACTCAAGACAACAAAGTTATACAAGAAGTTAAGAAAAATTTAGACCTCAAGTTTGTCTTAGCCCCAGTTTGGGCTCCATTAAAATGAGTTCTTTGGGGAAATGTGTTTTGGAATAGTTATTTTTTTAAAGAATGTGTGGTTAAAAAATAAGGAAAAATTTTGAGTTTACGTGTAACAATACTTTATGGAAGAATGTGTTATTGAAAATGAGTTTTCAAAAAACGTATTTACGGAAAAATGGAGCCCAAACATTGGGCTAAATATGTTTTTATTTCACTAGACAACTATCTCAGGCAAGTTGAAACTCAGAAGAGATTTGTACGTTTCCTATGAAAGTACAAAAGAACTTATTTAATCATATTCTTAGAAGAAAGGGCTATTGTATTACGGAGTGGTGCTATATGTGTAAGAGGGATGGCGAGACGATCGATCATTTATTCATTCATTGTGACGGTGTTCGTTGGATGTGGAATGATATTCTGGTTTCGCAACATATGAGTTGGGTGTTGCCAAGACGTATCAAGGAGGTGGTGTGGGCATGGAAAAGAAAGTTTCGAGATAAGAATAGCAAGCTTGTTTGGGATCTCATTCCAGGATGCATTGTTTGGTGTGTGTGGAGAGAGCGAAACGGAAGATGTTTTGAAGACCAAACTCGGACGACAGAGCAATTTAGGGAATTGTTTTATTTGACTTTGTATAGTTGGTTTAAGGCTGCAACCATTAGTCCGATAGAAGGGTTGCCGAATTTTTTATCGTTTCTTTCTTGTTTAAACTTATAATGCACTCCTTGTGTATTATCTTCTGATTTTATTTATAAAATTGCGTGATTACCTATAAAAAAAAAAAAAAAACTTATTTAATCATCTTTAATAAGAGTTACAGAAACACGCTTTATGTATAGATGTAATAAATACTTCCTCAAATTCCCAACTTAAGGTGCTAAACAAGAATGAATGTACATATTTTCAAGAAGTAAATAATGAAAAAGAGAAAAGGAAAACCAAGTAATCCTGCCAGTCAAGTGTCAAGTCATTTGCAGTGAGTAGGTTCCTTTCCAAAATGGTGAGCTTTTCTAGGTTGTTTCAAGAAGATAGAACCCTCTTGCTGGCGATCTTAAGCGATTCAAACTAAGATAATCATGTATCATGACAGCTATGTAGCTCAGACTGGGGACTGGGGAACCGGTAGGGTCTAGGTGTTGAATACACTAATTATCAAATTATATGATACACAGATGTGAATTGTAATAGCAATGTCTCGACTTGAGACGTGCATGGGGCATGTCATAATAACAGTAATAAGTAATTTATAAAATGCTCTAAAGATGCTTATCTCAAACGGCATTTATAAGATATAAAAAATTTCTAGCATTGCATTTCCAAGAAAAAATATTTGCTAATTCTTTCGGTTTTTTTTTTTTTGAATAAAAATAAACATTAAGTTACTTAACTAGTAAATTGAAATTATTTAGTTTTTGGAACTTGTCATCGGATTGGTACAACGTGGTATGCCGAAGTGTCAAAGTAAATAAAGAAAAACGATGTCTTTTCATCAAAAAATAACACGGATGACGACTTGCCTTCAATTGAGTCAAATTCTTTGATAAGCCTAGCAGTTGGCCTGTCTAATTCCTCTCGTTCAGGAACATTAAAAACATAAACATTATTTGAATCCTGCAAATTCTTCTTTTCCCTCTGGAAAACATGTAAGCAAAACAAAGCATTTGAGATGAAGTTACTACAGTATTTGAAACCAATAAGCTTACTAAAAAATAGTCTTTTAGAATATACTGTGAAATCGAGTAGTTTGGCGTGATATACACAGCAAGTTTGCTAATAATTTGACCAAGTAATTGAATGGCTAAGCCACCAATGATGACCATGTCACATATGAATTTGAACTCAATAAAACTCCCACTTGATTGAAGCAACATGTGATGTTCACAAGAAAGAAAATACAAGTAAAAATTAGGAATATTACAAAAGTCAAATTCATGTATTCTCTTGATTTAAATGATGGATAAAAAACTATAATCTGAAGCCAGAATCTTACGGTATTAAAGAAGCATATTGCAACATCATCATAAGATCTATTTATAATTTGAGTTCTCAAAGATTGTGCGATGCAACTGACAGCAATGTGAAAGTGAGAAACATCCTTCTGATCTTCCTGCACACATTCAAAATTTATCAGCAATCCATTCTCTGGTATCAAAAGGAGAAGTGAAAAAATACTATAGAGACTTGTCCGCAACAAATACTGCTAATGCTTTAATGAATGCATGAGTGGATGAAGGTGGAAGGATGCCTCGATCATTAAATACACCCACAGAGAGAGAGAGAGAGAGAGAGAGAGAGAGAGATTATTGATTCACAGTATTGGCAGTAATAAGGTCAAACTGGCCAAATTTTCAGATTTAACAATGCAAGAGCCAAGAACGGTTCTGCAGTTCAGTTCAACTGGATTTAATGTATGGGAACAATTCATAGGGTATTGTTAGTTTATCATTTGAAGTTCGCATCAAGTGCAAAAGATCATGGCTGTCCAAAGGGAGAAAAAAACCATTCATTAGCCCATTTCAAAAGCTTACACAAACAGTAAATCAACAGCTTCGGCATTCTGACTCAAAGTGCAAGTTATTGAGCGGTTCAAACAATTCTCCATTCAGTCTGCAGTAGGAACTCAGAGAGAATCCAATGGTGTGTCAGGGGACCCTCTTGTTCAATTTTCAGCAGATACTTGCGTCCATATAATTTCTAAATCAAATCCAATAAGTAACTTTATTTTAGATTTTAGACACGTTTGTCTGACCTTATGTTTCTACATATAAGCAAGTTTACAGTCAAAATAAGTAACTGATTTGAAGTGACCAATAAAATGACTTGAAAACCTATACTAAATTTGACAGTATAACAACCACAAATCACAACCTTAATATTTATAAAATATTAAAAAATGGGAATACTAATTTAAAATATTTCAATTCTCAACACAATTATTAAAATAGACATTTTAAAATAACAAATTGTTAAAATAATTTAAATTATAGTATTTTTAAGTTCAAATATTAAAATTGGATAATTTAATATTTGACTAATAACAATTTGAAAATATGAAATTTTAAAATTAAAGTAATATGAAAGATAAACTTATCGCTTATTCTTAAAATTTAGCATTTAAACCCTGTTTGGTAGGAATTAAAATTAGATTTTTAGTAGATTTTGATAAAAGTTGATAAGATGCGTGGTTGAAAAATTATGGACCCCATAAAATATGTGGTTGAAATCAATTGTTAACTGACTTAGATTAAAATTTAGATTTTAATTTCCACAAAACATGGGCTTAAATAATAAATTGTTAAAGAAGCCATTTTCATAATCATTTCACCAAAGTAACAAGGTATAGTTATTCTCAAAAAACCTGGAGTCAACCACATTAATCTTTTCATGTCATCGTGCAATTATAAAGGTACCATAAAGCATTGCCCACCATTGAAGTCGAATTCCCATTCCAAGTCCTCCTGCATATGTCTCACAACCACCTAAGACCATATTAATTTTGGTCTACGTCTACATCCTTTAAATTGTTCCATTGTGGCGATCCTTTAAATTGTGCAGCATTGTATTCTTCCTATTACTGTCATTAACTAGCATTTTATACCAGAATCCTAATAATTTACTTTGTGGAAGAACGATTTGTTTTATTCGTCGAGGAGCTGGGAGAGATCCATCAAAATCCTGGGTGGGAGTGTAGCATTCCAAAAGAGAGAAGGAACCACCATGAAACCAGTCAAATATTTCCGAACTTCTATCAAACAAAAAACAGCTTCCTCCCCAGTAAATAGCAAATACTAAAAATCTAATACAAGAACAGAAAGCCAATAGACAAATAATATGTACAATTAAGTAAAATATATCTAAAAAAAATATTATTTAGACAAATGCAGTAAAAAAGAAACGGAAAATCAAAGGAATATAACCCTAACATAGAGAAAACTAACCGAAGGACAACTAGTGGAGAACATTTTGGGGGAAGCATCTACTAAGTACACCAACATCTCTTTGGTGGAATCTCTTTCCTGCAAAATTAAAAATACTTCAAACCCACAAATAAAAATTTACAATTTAGAAACTCCTAATGGGCAGATTACAAAAAAAGCAAGTGTGAGCGAGAGATTTGAACCTGATAAAGTTCATTTTCTGGGTCTTCATCGTCCCGAAACACATCGTCTGGGTCAATATCCATCACTGGGCACTGTTTATTCCGCAGAAGATCAACTTCTTCCAGTACTATGTGTAGGGAGAAGGGTACTAGATGAAAACTGCAGTGTGTTTATTATATACATGCTTCTACTCCTTTCTGTGTACCTCCGCCTTCCTTGAGAAGGTTTGAAATTTGGTCAGTTTCTTTTCTTTCTTTTCTTTTTCCTTCTTTTTTATTTTTATTTTTATTTTTAAAACAAAAACAACAACACAAGTTAACAAATTTTCAGGCACCACCAGTAAAAAAAATACCTTCAGAATCATAAAAATGACATTAAAAAGAGAGAGAGAGAGAGTTTGGGGTTGGGGACTTGATAATTTTTCGTGATGTTTGACCCTGATTTTTAAATTTTATTTTTAATCATATAAGGAATTCATAATTGTTATTAATTTTTCAATTATACATCTCATTAATTTTTATCAAAATTTATTTAAATTTTGATTTATTTGTGACAAATAAAACTGAAGTTTCGAGCTTATTTGGGAGGAATTTTGAAATGTAACCGTTATTGGGTCTCACTCGTCTAATAACAATCAAAATTTTCAATTTAATCCAATTTTAATATCTACCAAACAAGCTCTCCAATTCAACTCCAGTTCACCCAAGTAACTAGGAAACCCTCACCCCTTTGAAGGTGAGATTGTTTGAATCCGCTATTTTCATAGTGTGTTTCAGACACATTGTTTTGAAAAAATGTATTATTGAATAGTAGATTGATAGAGAATGTGTGGTTAAAAATGAAGGAAAAGTTATTGATATAATGAAAAATATTATTTTATTGAAAAATGTGTAGTTGAAAATGAGTAGAAGAATGAAAATGAAAAAAATAATGTGTACCAAACAGGGCAATAATCACTTTTTTTGGGAAGATTGATTGTTGCCCACAACTAAATAAAAATAGAGGAAATTAGACTAAAACAGAATTTTAAAGTTCGTATTTCAAAAATCAGGTATAAAGTTTATTTATTCATAAATTAGATAATAATTCAATTATTAATATTATTAATATTATAAAATTAACCAATTTATCCAAACTTCACCCCCACCACACCACATCCCAATTCACTCCAAACCTATTTTTATCTCCTTCCCTATTTCTCTATCTACCATTTTTCTTTTCTTTTCTTTCTTCATTGGAGCGACGCCTCAGCACAGCTAGAGCAGCGACGTTCATATCAAAATAGCGATGCTCAGAGCGTCGATGATCTGAGCTGGTACATGTAGCGGCGATATATTCGTCGCTGCCGCAACAGTTGTGTTTTTTGCGACTCATTTGCACAGCTGGAACAAAGATGCTCAGATCGGAGTTGAGTGTCGTTGTGCGCGGTAATATGTTCATCGCTGCTGCAACGATTTTGTGTTTTTTTGCAGTGGCTTGTGGTGGTGTGTCGTGTTTCTTGGTGGTTTTGTGGTGGTGTTGACGGTGTTTGT